CGTCCTGGACGCCCTCGTCTGCTTCCCCCCTGAGTAAAACTTGCTGGTCCAACTCTGCCACCCCACCTTAAGAGGCAGCAGCTGGAGGTCCATTCAGCTTTGGATCAGGGCACAAGGAGGATGTTTCCACTCCCTCTGACCAGCAAATGAGGCTGTGAGAAGCATGTATGATGGGGGGTTGTTTCTGATTTTCGCACCATTATTCACTTGCTGGTGGGAGGAGGGTGGAAATGTCATCTTCCTTGCATTCCAATCAGAAGCCGAATGGACCTTCACCTGATGCAGCTGCTGGCTTTTACGATGGGTTAGGGTGGCATTTATGGAGTTTTACAGTACGATTACATGTTTTTGTTGCTGTTATCTGCCTTTAAGTCATTTCCAACTTATGGCAGCCTTAAGGCAACCCTAGCATGGGGTTTTCTTGGCAAGATTTGTTCAGATGGGGTTTGCCTTTGTTCTCCTCTGAGGCTGAGAGAAAGTGACTTGCCCAAGGTAACCCTGTGGATTTCTATGGCTGAGTGGGGATTTGAACCCTGGTCTCCAGAGTTGTAGCCCAGCAATCAAACCACTACACCACACTGGCTCAAAGACTACATAGTCTTACTGAATGCAGATGAGCTACAAATCTATAATTCTAGGAGCCTTATAACATCACAAAAGATGAGAGGCAGGAAGACAAAAGTGGCTTTTTGCTTACTTTATCTCATGATGTCATAGTACTTTTGTTTCCCATCCAAAGGGAACTGGCTATAAACGCATGGCTTTTGCCAAACAGATTTTCCCAGCAGAATAAAAGGCACGAGTATATGATTATCTTCCTCTGGTGGGAGAACGGAAGTACTACGGCATCATACAGGAAGGTAAGCAAAAAGCTGCTTCCGTCTCACTGTCTTTTATCTTTCTTTTGTAATGTAATAAGGCACTTGGTTATGAATTTGTAACTGCATTACTGAATACCAGACAATATATTTATATACGGTAGAAATAAATACTATACAATATGTATAAAATATTTATACATTGTCAAAGTAGCAATATATAAATATGGAAAACAAAATACTAACTAGAAAATTAATCTAAACCAGCTGACTATAATACAGCAAGGCAAAAACATGAAACAATCAATTTGGTGGCTTATAGAGCATGTGCTGTAATATTGATCTGTTTCTTCCACTTGTAGCTGCATGCTAGAAAACACAAATCTAACTAGAATAGACCTATCAGGTGAGTCGGGTTTAGATATGTGCAGATTTATCATTAGACAGTGAATTCAATCAGCCTATGTTAAGTGGGAAGAGCACTTAAATTTAGGGCCATGGAAACAGCAATTTTCTTATTTGAATTTCCAATGATCTCAATGTTTTAGAAATGTGACTCCTTCAATATGTATGTTTTTAATGTTGTTTCATTGTGGTAGCTTTCAGATTCTGGTGGTAGATTTTGGGAAGAGCTGTCAGTTCATCCTGACCTCAGTATGAATCCTCCCAATGACAGACAGCTTCAAAGAGCTCTTTCTTCTGTCACACATCTGAGGGAAGAGCTGGAAGAAGAAGGGAAGCCAAAATCCTTTGAAGGACTGGAAACATGGAGCTCTCCATCAACAGGAAGGCATTATGATATGGACATGGAACTAACCAATGATGTTCAGATAGCAAATGAAAACCTCTATACAGGGACCGTGATCAACTTGCCTCAAAGATTTTTGAGGACCTCAGAGCTTCCTAAAGGCTTTGGTCTTTTTGCAGATGCTCTGGCCCGGGAGCCTGACCATTCCTCGTTCATGGACGTGGAGCCTTCAGAATCTGCAGGGTTCCCACCAAGATCGTTGGGGGCCCTCTTGCCACAGTCTCTGCTAGGGGAGCCTGATGGTGACATTGTCATGTACGAGAAAAGGAAGATCAAGAAGTCAAAGGAGATACCCATTCTAGAGCAGGTTGGGGAAAGCTTACGGCAAAAGAAACTACGTGCAACCCATGTGTGAGGTAGAGAAAAATGGACTCTTTGCTAACATTAAGTGAGATAGCCCATGCATGGAAATGACACTTTTATTTGGACAACAACTTGATACGATTCCAGCGACTGGTTGGATAAACCTGTTGGGTTGTTGCTCCAAAAACAATTTTTCTAAGTTCTGAAAATAAGAGATGTTTGTTGAATCATGAAGGGCAGGGCAAATGGGACAAGGACATTTTTTTTTCTTCTGACCTTGGTTCCTTTTCTCCTCCTTGCTTACCTTTCCTATAATGTCTATAAAAGGAATGGGCAATGACTGACTCTCTACATCAGTGATGGTGAACCTTTTAGCGGCCAAGTGCCCTAATTTCCAGCACCAGGTGTTACCCGATGCTGGGGATGGGACTTCTGCCCTCCAAGGGTAGGACTTCTGGGATGGGACTTCTTCCCCCCATCCTCCCGGGCCTTCAGCTGGCTTTCCAGAGACAGCTGAAGGCCTGGGGGGTGTGAGGGGGGAAGAAGAGGAACAGATGCATGCCTCTTCCTCCTCCCCCCCCCCCCGCGCTGTCCCCGGCCCTCATCTGCCTGCACCTCTTCCTCCTCCTTTCCCTGTGCCATTCCCAACCTTCAGCTGAAGGCCTGGGACAGCTGGGAAGGAGGAGGAACAGGCGCATGCCTCTTCTGCCTCCTTTCCACCCTTCATGTGCCGGAGAAAATGGCTTCACATGCCATCTCTGGCACACGTGCCATAGCTTTGCGATCATGGCTCTAGATGCTCAGGTGAAGAGGAATGGGAGTTGCAGTCCATTATCTAAAGCAATGTTTCTCAACCTTTGTTTCTCCTGATGTTTGGGATTTCAGCACCCAGAATTCCTGAACATAGACCACATCAGCTGGAACTTCTGGGAGGTGATGTCCTAACCATCTGGAGGAGCAAAAGCTGGCAAATACTGATCTAGAGGGCTGGAGGTTGCCCATCCCTGCTCCATAATCTGCCTCTGAGGAAGTGCCTTGCAGAGGGGACCAGTGATTTCCAATGCTGGTCCATTTGCCCCCCTGTACAGAATTAGGAGCAGCAAAGAAACAGAGGGGGATTGATATCTAATACTGTGGGAGAGTGTGAAGGAGGGGACAGGAACCACTCTCCATGTTATGCAAGGAAGATTCTTATCATATTCCTGCCTAGCTGTTCCCTCCCTCCCCAGCTAAAAATCCATACATGTTCAAGCCTTTCCTGCTCTACTGTCTTAATATGGAACAGTAACTCAGTAGTGGAACGCATGCTTTACATGCAGGAGCTTCCCAGGATTGGTCCCTAACATCTCCACAAATAGCTCAGAAATATTTCTATCTGAAACTTTAGAGAGCTGCTGATAGTCAGTGCAGACCAACGCTTCCCATCCTTGTTCTCCTAAGATGTACTGTACTATAACTCCTGTCATCCCCAGGCTAGTTTGTAGTCATGGGAGCTGTAGTGCAACACACCTGGAAGGTACCAAATTGGTATAGCATTGTAACCTTCCAGATGTTCTTAGATTGCAGCTCCCCTCAACACTCACCATAGTCTATGCTGACTAAGAATGATGGGAGCTGCAGTTCTACAAGATCTGGAGGACCACACTTTGCTTACCTCTTGTGTAGACTACACCAAGTCAAACAGAGCAACAGTTTGTTCTGCAGTATCCTGGTATGACAGAAAGTACCAACTTCATGCTTTAATTTTGTGGAGATGCATGACTAGATATGCTCATTATACTGTTTTCTGATTTTTGCAGTGATGCTGAAATGAATCACCAGGTTTCTTTGGGTTCTTTTCTACTGTCTGAGAATGCTTGACTCTGCTCAGCACAATTGGATTTTCACAGCTTCACAAATAGACACGTTTTAAAATAGCTCCAGTAAAATAAAGCATAAGTTGCAGAAGAAGAAACCTGTTGGTTGAGTTTTAACTCTCTCTTTCCATGATAAACAGATCTCTTGCAGCTTCAGTGTTAACTTTGGCACAATGTCTGTTGCTGTGTGCCTTCAAGTCATTTCAAACTTATGTTGACTGTAAGGCAAAACTATCACAGGGTTCAAGGCCAAACAGGGAATGAAACCCTGGTCTCTAGAGTTGTAGCCCAATGCTCAAATGGAACTTTTGTGACTCTCTGGCCTAGGAAAGCCAGGGTTAGGTGAAAAGGTCTCTCTTGGTCAGATTTGGTAACCAGCACCCCTCCTGAATTCCATTATCTGCTGTCATTGATTTTGCTAAGATCCCTGATTAAAAATACTGAATACCCACCCAGACCAGGGGCATCACTAGAGCAGTGCAGGGGTATGGACCACACCAGGTAACACTCTAAGCTAGGGGTAGGCAACCTTTTTGAGCTGGGGGCTGGGTTGCTGTCCCTCAGACAATTGGGGGGCTGAAGCACCAAAAATAAATAAATAAATATTTAAAAATTTTAAAAAATTGAAAAATTAAAATATATGCATGCACACTCTCAGCCCCAGAAAAGCCATGGCAAAACCCCTGTGGAGATTTTGCCAAGAAAACCCTAAGAACAAGTAATAACAACAATAATCAATATCATCATGGTGGGCAGTGGCGGCAGCGGCGGCGGGCCTCGGGGGGCCGCATCTGGCCCCCAGCCCTTAGGTTGCCTACCCCTGCTCTAAGCGAACATGACAATACTGCTCCCCAAACATCTGCCTTTGGGCAGAAATGGGCTGTGGCATTCGCCCGTGTCACTTAAAAACACTGGAACTCAATGGATAAGATGTGAAATTCTGATATCATACTTAAGTTTTCCTGCCTGAGATGCTTTAAAAAGAAATCCAATTGAACCATAGTTATTCTAGGGGGTGAAGCCTACTTGGACCAAGAGCCTGAGCTACTAGCTTTGGTCCTCTACTACTAAAATCCCTGCAAGCTGCACTCCTTCAAGCTGAAATCACAAGTTTCAGGCCATCAGATTCCAGGATTTGGGCCACAGAATCTCATTCATGTCCATTCTCTTTCCCAAAGTCCTGGCTGTGGCTCAGAGGACCATAGTTAGCTTGTCTCCTTTGTCCTCACATTGTTTGACATCACTTTAATTGCCATGGCTCCATTCTTTGGAATCCTAGGATCTGTAGTTTTGTGCTGCGCCAGCACTCTTGGACAGAACATGCTAAAGACCTTATAAAACTACAGATCCCAAGATTCCAAATGATGGAATGACAATAGTAATAATAATAATAATAATAATAATAATAATAAAATGGCATTATTTTTATAGCGTAGATGCACCCTATGTCTCCCAATTCAGGAATCTGCCCAATGTATCCAAATAGGATAGCCTTTGGTAGTCATTTTGAGAGGCCAGGCTTGATTTGCTCCAAGACCCATTCATTTGGTATCCATCAAATGCTCCTCCAACGCTATATTTAAAATTAGTTGATTTTTAACCTCCTTTCAGGTTTACTGTCCAGCTTTCACATTCAAACATGTACTGTAAGTATAAATACTATTTCCTCTCGGGATTCAGTAATACATAGAATCTTAGGGCCTTTGCAGACTGCCAGAAATAGTGCAAATTGAGTCCACTTTAACTGCCCTGACTCAGTGCTAGGGAATCATGGGAACTGTAGTTTATTGTGGCACCA